TGTCAATAGTTTGCCAACCAAGGGCCTGGGGTTCCCTCCACCCTCACCCCTTTTCCGCCACTGGAGCATCACTGCTTTGAGCCCACTGCCCCCACTGCCCCCACTCCCAAGGCCTGGGCTCCCTGCCGTCAGGTGGGAACAGGCTCAGCCTCTGTCCTCCCTGATGCGGGGCTCTCCCTTCCTCCTGCAGGCCGGACGCGAGTCCTCGCCTGCCGCCACCACTGCAGAGAATGGAGGCGGCAAGAAGAAGCAGAAAGAGAGGGAGCTGGATGAGCTGAAAAAGGAGGTGGCCATGGTGAGGCCCTCTGCCCCCCACCCCACCCTCCCTCCTCCCCATCCCCACCCCATGTTCCTTGCCTCGCCTCTGGCCTCTCATTGACCTCACATACATTCTAAACACACACACACACACACACACACACACACACACACACACACACACGCAGCCTCCCTCCTCACGGTAATTCTGTCTCCATTCCCCAGGACGACCACAAGCTGTCCTTGGATGAGCTGGGCCGCAAATACCAAGTGGACCTGTCCAAGGTGAGTGAGGGGCCCGGAGGGCACCAAAGAGGTGAGAGAACCACGCAGCGGCATCAGGAGCAAGGGGCCGTCCACCTGTAATCCAACCCTTTTTACAGATGGGGAAACCGAGGCCCGGTGACTAATGGGTGGCAGAATCAGAACAAGAACCCCGATGCCCTGCTTCCTAGTCTTGAGCCCTTTTCCTGTGTACCCACCCGAAAGCCAGGATCTTGGGGACCCAGGCCCCGAGGGCCTCCAGGCAGGGCTCTCTCTCCCTCAAGCAGCTTCAGTGTTGCACCGTCTCATGGTACTGACATACATGAAATCGGGGAGTGACCTATTACTATTCTGACAGTGGCATGTTGGGGCCCCGCTATGTATGTACGTGTTACATACATTTTTCTAATCCTTGCAACCCTGAGGGAAAGGTGCTGGGGACCTCTTTCTCAGAGCGAGGAGACTCAGAGGAGGAGCGCAGCTTCCCAAGGTCACGTCCATAGTAAGCAGCACGGTCAGATTGCCAAGCCCATCACTTTGAAAAAGAAAAACATTATTAATAAAAAATATGGTCGTGTGACCTCCTCCTGTAGGCCCTCCGGGATTGCCCTTTTGAAAATTCTCTGCCCGCATTGCTCTAACCTTATTTCCCTGAGTAACACTTTCACTGTCTGGCACTAATATCATTTATTGTGTGTCACCTCCCTAGATCATAAGCTCCGCAAAGCAAGGACTCTGTGGGTCTTGTCCATCTCTGGGCAGAGCTGATAATAGAGCCTAGCATTCAAAACACATTTATTAAATCAATGAGTGGACAGATAGAAAGATAAATAAAAAGTGTCCTCTGCCTTCAAGGATCTCAAAGTCTGGTAGCAAAGAGGAGTGCCTAGACCTCCAGTGCCGTGTGGCGGTGCAGCTCGGAATCGTGTCTAGGATGTAATGGATGCAGAGAGGGGCGTCTGAGGCAGCCTGGGCCCGGGAGCAGGGCCGGGCCAGGCTTTCTGGGGAAAGCGATGGGCGATTGCTGAGGCCGAGCGACGCTGATGGTCAATAATGTAGGACTCTTCTTAAATCCTTGGTGCAAGAAGCACAAATATTCCTTGGTGATGTGGGGAATGTGAAGGCAGAGAGACGGGGGTGGGGAGGGGAGGAACCAATTGAGATGACTTTCCAGTGAGCCTCAGCCAGGCTGCCTCCAGAGGAGATGATTGTGGCCCCAAATGTGAATCAGTCCAGTGATGACCAGAGAAGGGGCCACATTAAAATCCTCCTCAGCCTTCAAGGCCTCTAACACCCACTGCAAACCCCACCTCCTTCACGTGGCCTCTCCTATGGCCCCTCAGCCCTTCCAACCAGGTGGGATTTCCCCTCCACCAGGGCCTTACTCCCGGCCAACGAGCTGGCGGGACGTGGTGAGGGGCCAGACTGCTTCCGGATGCAAACTCCCACACTCCTCCTTGCCTCCCTCAGGGCCTCACCAACCAGCGGGCCCAGGACATTCTGGCTCGGGACGGGCCCAACGCCCTCACCCCGCCCCCAACAACCCCCGAGTGGGTCAAGTTCTGTCGCCAGCTTTTCGGGGGCTTCTCCATCCTTCTGTGGATCGGGGCCATCCTCTGCTTCCTGGCCTATGGCATCCAGGCTGCCATGGAAGATGAACCATCCAACGACAATGTGAGCTGGAATGCCTGACCCCTGGCCCAGCCCATGACTCTGCCCTCCAACCCCGAATCTCCAGTCTGGCTGGGGGGCAGGGAACAAGACCCTCACGTCACAGGGCCCTTTAGGCTGAAAATGGGTGAGGCTCCTATACATACCTATCCGCACCCCAACACACACAGGCACGCAATCACTCAAGGATGAGAAAGCCCCTCTCTGTTCCTTTACACTTAAGTGGGCTTGTCTGCCATCCCTCAGTCTTCACACCCTCGAGAAGACCTACAGTGGGGCCTTGACTTACGAGTTTAATTCGTTCCGTGATGGAGCTCGTAACTCAAATTACTCGTATGTCAAATCAAAAAGTGAACGAGTGAGACACGTGATGCTGGGCTGATGCTGTGGCGTTCACTATGACGTTCGCTGCGCCAACTAGCGGTGGGGTATCTGAAGCTGGCTCGTAACCCGAATTTTAGCTCGCACCTCAAAGCAAAAAATCGGCCGAGAGACGGCTCGTATCTCAAAAAACTCGTTAGTCGGGACACTCGTAAGTCAAGGCCCCACTGTAGTCCTGGGAACTCCCTAAGACTCTCACCACGCCTTCCAGCCTTAGGAGGTTGGGGGCTGGAAGACTGAGGGGGAAATAAGAGAGAAGGACTTTCCTCGACCATTTTCCCTTCCGGTCACAGACAAGGGAAGCTTGTCCCACGTGGCAGTTGCCGCTTGAGGGTTGCGAGACGGGCACGTCTCTCAAACCCTGTCTCCCTGCAGCTCTATCTGGGCGTGGTGCTGGCAGCCGTGGTCATCGTCACGGGCTGCTTCTCCTACTACCAAGAGGCCAAGAGCTCCAAGATCATGGACTCCTTCAAGAACATGGTTCCGCAGGTAGATGGCCAGGCGGGGCTCTGGGCTGGGGCATACGGTTCCTGGGCGGGTCCAGCTCCTCCCTTCTCAACTTTGCGCTCTGAGATGGAGGCTTGGACAAAAAGTCCCTCTAGGTATCTACACCAGGACCTAGTTTTGTTGCTAAGGGCTTCTCCTCCTCCTCAGTGGGGTTGAAGGGGAGGTGGAAAAGCAGCAGGAGAGAACAGTAGGGGTAGAGACTTCATGAGATGCCCACGGCCTCCTTACAGCAAGCCCTCGTCGTGCGGGAGGGTGAGAAGATGCAGATCAACGCGGAGGAAGTGGTGGTGGGAGACCTGGTGGAGGTGAAGGGTGGAGACCGCGTGCCCGCTGACCTCCGGATCATCTCTTCTCATGGCTGTAAGGTGAGGAGGCCATGCCAGAGCACCTGGCGGGGTCTAGGAAGAAGGCCGGATAGAGCTGAGAGGGGCCCAGTTAGAGGTTTGAAGATTAGAAGCGCCAGATCCAAATGCCAACACCTACCCCGTACCCCCCAGCTGCACCTGATAGCGCTGAGGCGCTGTCTCCTTGTATCTGTGTGTGATGACTGCTCTGTGCCCTAGGTGTGTCTTTGAAACCCACTTTACAGCCACCTTGTATGGAGTCCCAGTTATCGTCAGATGTTTTATGTACATTCGCAGATGCCATGTAATTCAGCTCTGTGAGGACGGTCTAATCATGCAGGGCTGTTGCATGTGGCCACACGAGGCTGTGCCATTTTCATAGACTACAGTGTTGATGGCACCCCCTGGAGTTGTGCAGTGCATAGATTCTGATGACATTCCCCATTTTACAGATGAGTGGAGGGTTAAGCAACTAGCCCAAGGTCACATTAAAATTTTGCAAGAGCTAGGATTCCAAACCAGCGCAGGGACAATAGCCGAGCAATGCTATAAATATGTGATGAGGACAAGTGTAATTTTGTCCCTCGTGTCATGGAGATTGAGCGCAGTTGGAGTTGGAAGACAGCTGTGTGTGCACAAGTGCGCCTGCCAGGCTGATGACTACACCCTCCCTGCTTCCTCCCCAGGTGGACAACTCATCCCTAACTGGGGGAGTCAGAGCCCCAGACCCGCTCCCCTGAGTTTACCCATGAGAACCCCCTGGAGACCCGCAATATCTGTTTCTTCTCTACCAACTGTGTGGAAGGTGAGAGGCCAGCCTGGTGGGGGCCCCTCGTCCCAGCACCCACGGAGGGAGGCGTCTGAATCCTGAACCCCCAGCAAGATTAGGGGCTGTGGCTGTACTTACTCATCAAAAACCCTGCTATAGAGGAGGGAACTGAGGACTTGGGGCTGGGGATCCCTGAATATTACAGAAATAATCCCTTCCAGAGAGCAGGGTATTGGCTGGGATGGCACAACTCCATGGAAAAGTTACCTCCCACAGAAAGATCTCTGTTCTGTCCACCTTAACAATGAATGGATTCCAAAGCCTTTAGGTCTTGGCCAAGTTCCCCCACCCCTACCACACACACTCACATTTACACACTCTGACACTCACACATCATGCACACATATGACACACATCACCCACTCACATGCACACCCGTCCCAAGCCAGCCTTGACTCTTGGGTGTCTTTGGCTTGACTGAAGGCTTCTGTTTCTCCTGCGTTTGGGACTTGTTGCCTCCATCTCTGGCCCTTGCTTTGCCCAGAGCCCCGGGCTGGGGGAGGGGCAGGAAAGCTTCCAGGCTCAGTGGATACTTGGGCCCTCCTTCTGGCTGTAGCCAGGACTGTGCTTCGCCAAGAGAAATTGTCATGCTCAGGCTGCCCAGGTTGCCCCATCCCTGTTCTGGGTTCTAGAGATGACCAAAGGCCAGTGAACCGAGTCAGGCCTGACTCGGAGAGGGTGGAGAGGGCAAGAGCTGGTGGGAGCAAGAGGCCCGACTATGCCAGGGGCCTCAGAAAGTGAGCCCAAGAAGACCTTCCCCACCTCCACACCTTTCTCTTTATATCTGTCATTTCTCTTCAGTGGATATGTGTTTCTGGGCTTCTCCCCTCTTTCAGCAAGTTGGAATTATAATGAAAATCGCCACACATTAAGTTTCCTAACTTTTTAATGTACTGAGATTCTGAAGTTTGCTCTACATTTTTTACAAGTGTTAAAAATGCCTAGTAAAATATTCCCATTGCTTACTCTAAAATTGACCTTGAGAAAGTATAGGAAATGAATGGAACTAACATTTGATGAGTGCCTACTATGTGCTAGGCACTGGTCTAGGTAGTACAGCACAATCTGATTTAATTGTTAAAATAACCCCTAGGTAGGAACTCGAATAAGGATTCAAGCTCAGGTTTGGCTGACTCCAACATGCATGCTCCTCCCACTGCCCCATCCCTCCTCCCTTGTAGGCCCTTTTATTGTCTACTTAAGGGTCAGTAATTGCCTAGCTTCTTTTATGGGATTCATGCCTAATGTTGAGAAAGAAAATCTTAAGACTACATGGAAAACCTATAATAATAAAAGCGTAATATGCTAATTAGACCGGACGTCCTTCCGGACAAAGACAAAGCCTGGGCTGCGAGGGCCGAGCCCCTTGCACGAATTTTGTGCATCGGGCTTCTAGTCCATAATAAGTGCCTGACTTTGTGTTTATAATATGTGAACACATAGTTTGTGGGTAATATGTAGGAGATTGATTTTACTAAAGTACTGCAGGCAATATTTTTGTTTCACTTGTTGAATCTCCTCAGTTTGAACTTTGAGTTTATTTGCAAGCTTTTTCCACAGGCCCAAGTGTAAGAGAAAATAACTTGCTGTTGCACTGAGCTGGGGGTTGGCGATGTGGGCAAGAAGAGAGAGCCCGGGAGGTACAATCTACTGAAACTCCGGGAGCAGGGTCTCCGGTGCATTTACTCTGGGATGGATTTCCTTCCTCAGGAAGTGGGACAGGACACAGATCCTGGGACCCAAGGCACCGAGCCTGGAGTCTCTTCCTGTGTTGCAGGCACTGCCAGGGGCATCGTGATCGCCACAGGTGACCGGACGGTGATGGGCCGCATAGCCACTCTGGCCTCGGGCCTGGAGGTGGGGCGGACCCCGATAGCCATGGAGATTGAACACTTCATCCAGCTGATCACAGGGGTGGCTGTGTTTCTGGGCATCTCCTTCTTCGTGCTGTCCCTCATCCTGGGCTACAGCTGGCTGGAGGCAGTCATCTTCCTCATCGGCATCATCGTGGCCAACGTGCCCGAGGGGCTGCTGGCCACCGTCACGGTGAGTGGTCAGGCGGAGGTGCCACCAGGGGTGGGTCTTGTTACCCTTTCCTCAACAGTGATAGAGGCTCCTTGCTCCTCAGCAATGTTTTCACTGCCAGCCCTTAAAGTTACATATCAGATTCTCATTTAATACATGGCTTAGAGCGTGAGTCTGAAAAAGGTCATTTAGTACACGGCTCAGAGGTTGAGTCTGAAAAATCTCCGGTGGGGCTATACTTTGGCACAGCTTGTCATAGTCGCCTCTTCTCACCACCCATGTGCTACTCCTGTCACCCAGAGCTCGTCCTGGCCAACACTCTTCTGCAAATGCTCTCTCAAAGGTCACCAGTGACCACTGAGCAAACCCAGAGACCTTTCCTCAGCTCCTATGCTCAACTCTGCCGCTGAAAGGAACCCTTCTGTCCACCTGCCGGGAACCCTCTCCTTCACCGATGACTGTGACATGTCACTATCCTGGTTCTCCTCTCCTCTGTCCCCAGCAGGGTCCTCTCTTTCTCCCCAAAACTGAGTCTCAGGCCTCAGCTCTCTGCTCTTCTCCTCAACACGCTTAAGTGAGCCCAGTTTTCACTGCCCATTCTGTGTGGGCGACTCTCATATCCCTTCACCCAGCTCTACTCTGGCCCTCTCTGGAGCTCTAGACAAATGTCTTCAACTCCGTACTGGACATTTCACCTAAATATACACCCATGATCTCCATTCAACTGCTCACACCTAGGTCCCACTCGCGCTTGTGGAGTAGGAGCAAGGGAGGAGGGATAGAGCCCGGGCTCTGGGGGAAGGTCCTAGACATCTCCGGCTCAGGCTCGGCCCTTTTGTATCCTCCTCTCTTTCTGCCAGGTGTGTCTGACCCTGACAGCCAAGCGCATGGCAAGGAAGAACTGCCTGGTGAAGAACCTGGAGGCGGTGGAGACGCTGGGCTCCACCTCCACCATCTGCTCTGACAAGACGGGCACCCTCACCCAGAACCGTATGACCGTCGCCCATATGTGGTTTGACAACCAGATCCATGAGGCTGACACCACCGAAGACCAGTCTGGTGATTGGGCAGCCCAGAGGGGTGAAGGGGTCTGGCGGGTGTCCAGGACACGGGGTGGTAGAGTGGGTGGAGAGAGAGAAGAGCTCTAAAGGGGAACCAAGCTCCTGGTTCTCCCTCATTTTCTCCCAGGGGCCACATTTGACAAGCGATCCGCGACGTGGACGGCCCTGTCTCGGATTGCTGGCCTCTGCAACCGAGCCGTCTTCAAGGGTGGGCAGGAGAACATCTCTGTGTCTAAGGTAGGGGGTCAGGGCCGTCTCCGTGGCCTGTGCCCTTTGCTGATGCCCAGCTTCCCCTCATACCCTGCGGTGGCCTCCAAGGTTTCATGGCCTCTCCTCTGGGTCCTCCATCCTTCTCCGGCCCCACTGTAACACTGAATTCTCCTGGCAGCGGGACACAGCTGGCGACGCCTCTGAGTCAGCTCTGCTCAAGTGCATTGAGCTGTCCTGCGGCTCTGTGAGGAAGATGAGGGACAGGAACCCCAAGGTGGCGGAGATTCCTTTCAACTCCACCAACAAGTACCAGGTCTGGTCAGGGAACTGGGACAGGGGAATGGGAGGGACAGAAATGAGGGGGTGCACAAAGCCCAGGGGGAGTCATCAACATGAGAAGTGGAGGCATCTGGGCATCATGTCCTCTCACCCCTGTCTTATTCCCCAGGGCAACTTGGGTGACTACATGTCTGGTTGCCATTACCCCTTAGCTCCCAACCTTCATTCCTTCATCCCTCCAACCCTCTTGACTCTTCCTCCAAGAGCTCTCCAACCTCTGGCCCCGGTCTCTCAACCCTTTCATCACACTCATTTGAAACATACTTCTGAAATTTCCTTAGCATATCCCTCCACCTGCAAGCATTTGGGAAATGCCAATAACACGTCTCAGCTACGTCCTGTGTAGGCCATAGAGGTAAAGTCCCACCAAGGCCAGTTTAGTGGTGGGAATGCTGACAACAAAGCCATCTAGCCCATGCACAAGGCCTGTCTTAACTGATCTGAATAAACATTTGCTGAGTCAATGAATGTCCTAGGAAAGTGACTCTCAGGTTACAGGGTTGGGACTTTTGTTTCAAACATCTCTCCACACACAGAAACTGTCCCTATGCCGACAAGGGTTGATGAGTCAGAGGTAATTTTATTAAGGGGGGGGGGGGGTTTCTTACCAGCCTCTGCTCTGTCCCAGACCCGTGCTGGGTGTTGGGGCTAATAAGACAGTTATGGCCCCCTCTGTCACTGCCCATCCTCTCTCCAGCTGTCCATCCACGAGCGAGAAGACAGCCCCCAGAGCCACGTGCTGGTGATGAAGGGGGCCCCCGAGCGCATCCTGGACCGGTGCTCCTCCATCCTGGTGCAGGGCAAGGAGATCCCGCTGGACAAGGAGATGCAAGATGCCTTTCAGAACGCCTACATGGAGCTGGGAGGACTGGGGGAGCGAGTGCTAGGTGAGGGCCCAGAAGCAGGGAGCAGGGCTGAGAGAGGGATTCCCAAGCCTCACTGGCTTCCCTAGGATGAAGAGCTTTAGGGGTGTTCAGGCAGCCACCTTGCTGCTCTCAATCCTCCCCTCTGCCGCCCCCCTCCTCCTTCAGGGTTCTGTCAACTGAATCTGCCCTCTGGGAAGTTTCCTCGTGGCTTCAAATTCGACACAGAGGAACTGAACTTCCCCACCGAGAAGCTCTGCTTCGTGGGGCTCATGTCCATGATCGACCCTCCGCGGGCGGCTGTGCCTGACGCTGTGGGCAAGTGTCGGAGCGCAGGCATCAAGGTACTGGCCTCACTTCTTCCCCTTCAGCCTCCCCTTCCACCCTCGGAAGGTCAAGAGAATGCAGGGGCTGTTGGCCTGGGGGCACCCAAGCCCCTGGTGATCGTTTTCTCGCTGACTGGGAGGGGCAGCCGTCATCTGAAGGAAAGGCCGGCCACTGCCGTGGAGAGCTCACCCTTCTTGTCCCTTGTGCTCAGAGTGCCCAGTCTCCCACATCGAACCTCTCGCTCCCTGGCACGGCTCATTCTGTTCTGATGGCAAGCTGATATGGCACCCCTATCTTGGGGATATGGTGTCCTGCCCCTCCCAACCACTGCCCACTGCCCCTAGCCATTTGGGACGGGGTTAGCAGGCTCCAGTCTGCATCCACTCACTCCTCCCCCCCCCCCCCCACAGAACCCTGCAGACTGGCCCCAGCACTCATTCCCCTTAGCACCCCTCTCCCATGTTTCCTTGTCCAGCTGCCATTGCTTCTCAGTGGCCACTTCCTCCTTGGTGCTACAGTTGTTCTTCATTTAACAAATACAGTGGGGCCTTGACTTATGAGTGTCCCGACTAACGAGTTTTTTGAGATACCAGCTTTCTCTCCACCGATTTTTTGCATTGAGTTGACAGAGTAATTTGAGTTAACGAGCTCCTTAACGAGCTCCTTAACGAGTTCGGTCTCGGAATGAATTAAACTCGTAAGTCAAGGCCCCATTGTATTTGTCATTTTCCAACTATGTACCAGGCACTGTTCAAGGTGCGGAGATCAACAAACAAACCAACATAAATCCCTTCCATCTTGGAGCTTACTTTCCTGTTTCAAAGATATATCACTTAAAACAAAACAAAACACTTTAGCCCCGGCTGGTGTGTTCAGTGGTTGGAGTGTCGGCCCACGTAATGAAGGGTCTACAAGTTTAATTCCCGGTCAAGGGCACGTAACTGGCCTGCAGGTTCGCTCCCTGCCCCCAGTCAGGGCGCATGTGGGAGGCAACCAGTCAATGTGTCTCTCCCATATCAACGTTTCTCTCTCTCTCTCCTCTCTGCTTACCTCCCTCCCTCCTTTCTACTCTCTGAAAAGCAAAGGAGAAAATACCCTCTGGTGAGGATTAACAAAAAACAAACAAACAAACAAAAAGATAGATACAGCACTTTAACACCCCCCTTAACCTAGTGACTCACCAGGTAGGGT